GAATAGCTGGATTTTTGCACAGAATACGGGAAACAAATTATGTTGTTATCAAACAGCTCACTTCTTCAAACAACTCCGAGTGGGAATTCCTTTACTCTTAATAATTATTCCTAATCTACTGGGCTACACCGCAAGTACTTATTATCAAATGTCGGCTCATACCCACGAAAACATTATAATGCTTCGTATTGAAATTAGGAAAGCAGTCCGCTTGAATGTTTTGTTAAAACACAATTCTTTGGTGCAAACCAAGAGATCTTTCTGCAATGTATCTGCATGAAAATCTTTTAGGTCACAACGACGATTCACTGATGTCTTCCTGCGATCGAAATGAAAAGAAACCGAAAGGGAACGATGCGTTGAGAAAAAAATAGCGGTGATGTTTACCAACTACTGCGACACAAAATCCTTGTATTCGAAAAACCTTCGCGCGTTCATGAGGCTCGACTGATCTGTAATACGGGACTTTTATCAAGTGAATGTTGCAATTTTGCCAGTGCCTAGAAAAATTTTGCAACATCTTTCAACAGTTTGGATCCGTGAGGGGAACATTGATCTGTTGAATTTCCCCAGTGAGAAAACCACGCGTGTAAGGATATTGCGTACTTGAGCAAGTTCTCAATTAAAAGGACCATTTCAAGGTTATTCTCGGTTAATTAAAGGTTAATTAAAGGGCAATCAGGTTCAAAAATTGAATAATCGTGGAAATGACCGCACGATAATTCCTATTGCACGTTTACCGCCCGACTGGATCCTCAGTAACTTGAGCTGTCAACTCAGTAGCAACTATAACTGATCCGAAGTGATGCGCGCAAAGAATGAGTTTTACCGAAGAAGAAGCATTGTCATTATCACGACAGAGTATCCGCTTGCAACTGATGTGATGAAACGGCCCAACACTTCTGCAATAAACGCGTAGATGCAATCAATTTCGTTGCAGAACTGTCGTGACACTGTCTGCTCACTGCTATTCGAGCAACGACAATCGCGAAATATCTGAAATCATTATCGCTGAATTTTTCCCACAAACAAATATCTTGTTAGTTCGATTGCTTTTCATTTACGAACTTCGTTGCCTTCGCCTCGGCATTTTTCCATTATTGAAGTTTGTTTTCATTGTTGACTGTTACTCGTTGTAGTAATGATGATTTGTTGTTGAAGGATTCAAAAAGATTTTCGACTGTTTAATGGCGATGTTTTGAGGGAAGGTTTGAAAGTATCAATCGGCGGACTAATTTTGATAAATAGCGTTTTAGCGGAAAGCACTGTTACTTTTTCGTTAGCGAAACTAATAGCGAACTACTTTGAGCGGAACAAGAATACTCATTTAATATGGTAATGATTAGCGGAGCTATTTCCTTCAATACCATACTCATCAGTAGTTCTCGAATTCTTCCTTATACGCTAAAAATCTCTAACTGAGATGACTAATGAATGAAATATACATGGTGATCCTGGAGATTTGCGTCGAGTGAGCATCCGGCATGACATGGCGAAAGGAACACTTCACCTGATTCGCTACAAACCGGAAATAATTGCGCCATACTTTCACATCCGCAAAGTTCGTTACAACTTGCATTGAAATAGCTATTGTTCGTGCTGAAAAATAAGCTAACTCAACACTTCTCTCGAAGGCGAGTCCTTCCAGAGTAGTCGATGAAGGATGATATTGAGATAAACCGATGATCTCTTGTGTATTGTTTACGGTTTCTTGTACGTCTCTCTATAGTGCTTTGCATATCATGTATTCTCTGGCCACCATTGGCAATTCGTAACCATTGTTCCGTAATCAGCTAATCTCAATGACTATATAAGTAGCTCAGTGTAGTTATGTCAGTTTCTATGTGTCAGTATCAGTCTCAGCGCTCAGTGTCAGCGTAGTTAGTGTGTTGTTAGTGTATTCGGTATCGTCAGCCGTAGGTATTGTAGTCGCCATCACCGGCATTTTACTCAGTCGTCAGTTGTATTACCACTCAATTCAATCATCATTATCGTCTTTATTTATTTGTGTGGTTAAACCAAATTATCAATTGTCGCCTTCGCACCATCAACACAACTAACATCACAAACAGTCGAAATACGTCGTATGGCAGTATTCCGCATCTGAATTTCCGTGGTGAGTCAGGTCCGTCCGTTCGTAATAGATCAATAGAACGAAATAGCTCATAAGAACATCTGATCATTTACATGATCATTAAATCGTTTTACATTTCTCATCAGTTCATCACAATAACTTTAAATGGCCCTCGAATTCTGCGAGTTTCAACCTCTTTCAGACTCCTACAACCTGAGATGTTTCACACACGAGAAGAAACAATGAAAAAATATTGTTATCCTCGTCTCACTCCCTTGCTGCTCTAAAATTATACGAATAAAAATTCATGAAATCATTCGTTAAAGTAAAAACAACGGGCGCTGACCTTGTTTGTCGAGCGAGGGCCTTGTTCATCGACTCACAAGTGATTATTGCGATGAATATTTCAAAACAAAAAGAAACGATGAAACCAGTTCTAACCATCCGAATCATTAGTTTGCCTGGAAGTAATAATTTTCACCTTCACCTCGATATAATTATGTTCCTGCGTAAAAACACCACTTTTATGTCGCTCCATCGACACACCAGTCGATGTCGGCCCTATAATGCCGAAATTCTTCCATGGATTGGATTTCTTATTTCGCTACAACCGTTCCACTTTTGCTAAGGTCACTCTTGCTTTGAAAATTCGTTCTCACGACTCATGTTTGTGGTGCAAAGTTGAGACCGTGACTGCACTATCTTTCTCGATGATCTTGGTTAGTTATCGTACGATTCACATAATTATAGGCTCGCATTTGCTGTGAAGAAAAGATTCGGATTAAAAAATTCGCATTTTCCTGCACCAAAATGGATATGTGCACTCAACAAGTCTTACTGGTAACCAATTTCAAACAAAAACTGCAGAAGAACTTCTCATCCCCATACCGGGACGCACGAATGCAATAAAAGACAGTCAAATGCCATTAATAATTGCTGAAATTTACGTTGGGCCATGGTACGGCAGCCTACATGAATCCGTGCCTGACGAAAATCTGTGCAGAAGACCTCTTTAGAG